ATAGTCCAAAATTTTAAATAAACAGGCCAAATTATTTTTTCCCAGTCAGAATGAATTTATTAGAGAGAAATAAATTTGCAGGAGTGGCCAATTGCTGGCATGCAAACAGAGCAAGCACTTGGCAGAGGCCAAAATGTAATTACGAGCTAAGTTGATATAGGATAAGCCATCAAGGGCCAACAAGGGCCCTTATCTGAACTAGCTTTTCACAGGCTTTTCAAACTTAGTGGGGCTTTCTCTCTAAGAACAGGTACTAGAGAGTAATACAGAGGGGGTGTGACAGGGAACATTACAGGCAGGGGGACACAGCCAGGGAGATTTGGTTCTAAGTACAGTAGAGCTCAAATCTTTACCAACTGATGATGCATAAACAAAATGATTTACTTATACAATGTATAGTATTCAGTCCCAAAAAGAATTGAAGTATTGAAACATGCTATAATATTACACTAAGTAAAAGCAATCACTCATATAAAAGGCCACATGGCAGACATTTTATCTATTTCTATAAAATCTCTCAACAGGGAAATCCATAGAGGCAAAAAGCAGATCAGCTATTGCAGGGGGCTGGAGGAGAAGAATGGCAGTGGATAAAGGATTCCTTTTGGGCAGTGCTAAACATATTTTGGAATTAGTAGTGGTGACTGTATAGCTTTGTGAATATATAAAAATTACTGAGTTATAGTTTCTCCAAAAATGATTTATAATTTGTGAATTATTTTATAAAACAGGGGAAAACTTTGGGGATTTGTTTAATTAAAAAAAAAACCAGTAAAATAAATTTACCATTTAGCTCATTAAATTTTTTTATTTTTAAGATTTATTTATTTTCCTTGGAAAGGCAGATTTACAGAGAGGAGAGACAGAAACATTTTCTAGCTCCTGATGCACTCCCTAAACGGCCACAATGGCAACAGATGGGCTAATCTGAAGCCTGGAGCCTCTTATGAGTCTCCCAAACAGGTGTAGAATCCCATGGACTTGAGCCATCCTCTGTCTCTCTCCCAGGTCACAAGCAGGAAGTTGGATTGGAAGTGGAGGGGACACAAACCAGCATCCATATGTGCCATTAAGTTACTAAACAATCTACAAGGTACAATGAAACACTTCCCACAAATCATATATAATAGTCATGCCCTCCATAAACAGGAAGCAGCTTCCTTATTCACTGTAGCATTTGATGAAATGCTTCTGTCATTGCCCGGGCTTTAACAGACTAAAGTTAAGACAGGGTGTCATGTATCATAAGAACAACAGAGAAATTCTGAGCACAAGATCTGAAGTCACAGTATCTGGCTTCTAACTTTGGCTAAACCAAAGTTAATACAAGTGTAACTTTGATCACATTATTATTATTATTACTAAACCCTCTAATTATGAGTTTCTTCATCTATAAAATGAGAATGAGAGTAGTAAGTATAATTCAAGGACGGGCTGATGATTAAACAAGATATTCCAAAGAATATGTTATGAAAAAAGATATAGCAATTCTTTCAACACTGAAACACAGAATTATCATATGAGTCTGCAATTCTACTTCTGGGTACATACTCAGAACAGCAGCAATGTTTATATCAGTACTCATTAGCAGACAGAAGCAACAGTGTGCAATGACAGGCATGTAGCTAAATGGAATATTAGACATAAAGAGGAAGGAAATTTTGACACACATTATATGGACAAACCTTCAAGACACTACATGAAGTGAAATGAGCTAGTTAAAAAGGACAACTGTTTCATAATTCCACTTATATTAAGATATGCAGAGTTGTCAACTTCATTGAGACAAAAAGCACAGTGGTTGTTAGGAACTAGGGTAAGACTGGAAAGGGGAATTGGTGTTTAATGGGTAAAGAACTTCAGTTTGAGATGATGAAAGTGTTCTGGAGATGGATGAGGGAGATGACCACAATATAAACGCACATCATGTCACAGAACTGCTTATTTATTTATCTACTCATTTGTTTTTAATTGATTGATTGATTTGAAAGCCAGAGTTACAGGGAAAGGAATAGAGTGGAAAGGGGGGTACGGAGACAGGGAGAGCACAAAATATAAGAGGGAAAGTGGGAGAGAAGGGAAGGGAAATGAAGAAAGTACAGCAGCCAGCAATTATATGGGATGCCAGCGTTGCAGGCAGCAGCTTAATAAATACTGTGCCATAATGCTGGCCCAAAAACTATTTTAAAATGGTTAAAATGGTAATTTTTTGGTAATGAATATTTTCTCCCAATGAAAATAAAGCAATAGGACTGGTGTGATGGCTAATTGGCTAATCCTCTACCTGCAAGCACTGGCATACCATATGGGCACTGGTTCATGTCCTGGCTGTTCCACTTCCTGTCCAGCTCCCTGCTTGTGGCCTGGGAAAACAAAAGAAGACGGGCCACAGCCTTGGTAACCTGTATCTGTGCGGGAGAACCTGGCTCTGAATTGGTTCAACTTGGGCTGTTGTGGTCTTTTGTGGAGTTGAACCAGTGGATGGAGGACCTTCTTCTCTATCTCCTTCGCTCTATGGGTCTGCCTTTCCAATAAAAATAAATCGAAAAATCTTTGAAAAAGAAAAGTATTGAGGGCTCTTAAGTGATGGAATGGCAACTTGCAGAATGGAGGGTAAGCCTGGTTGCTCACTGTAGGACTCTGAATGGTTGGCATTCACAGGGCTTTTCTTGAGGGATGGTCAGTTTTCCACACGCGAGGATGATGTCATCCATAGGCAGCTGAATCAGTATTGACAAGTACAATATTCCCCCCTCATTTATGTGTTTATAGGCTCTATCTCCCACTCCATTAAAACAAAAGCTATTTGAGGGCAGAAATATTTGGCTCTTTAGATTGACATATTCCCCAGAGCTTACAGCAATGAAATGTTAGCAGACATTCAGCAACATTTGTTGAATGAATCACTCAGCATATATAAAGCACTAACAGATAGCTCAGAATTATTGTATTTCATAATTACAAATTCAATCTATATCATATCTATTACTCTGACTTTATCAGTATAAGGAGACTGGGTATCTGGGGAAACTAAGGCAAAGCTGGAACTCAAGCACAGGGTCTATGAGACACCAGGCTTCATCTTAACTATTATGCTACCTTCTATAGTATAGGCATATAATGTGTGCTACACACACACAATGACACACATATAAACATACACAAATTCTTATGAGTACTTTGTATAATTCTTAAATTGTATACAAATTGTGTGGCAGTAGTCTCAAGAATAAGGACCTAGTACTTCAGCGTATGCTAACAATATAATATGTGAATTATGGTCTGATAGTACCAACTTAAATTTGAATAGGTGATTTAATTTTGTGTGCTTAATTCTGAAAAGCAATAAACTGGATACCTCTAGTAAAAGGTCCCAAGTAATTAAATAACGAATGCATTAAACACAGTCCCAGGGCACAGAATAGTAAGGTCAAGAGCATGTGTGTGAGGCAGGCAGTGGGTTAATACTGCAGTGACACACGGTTACTTATGCAAATGAGTTAAATCTGAGCATGAGACAGAGTTCCCAAGACAGGAATGCTTGGAAGAAAACCTGTTCTACGTGTTATATCACATAATTCTAATTAACAAAAGAATTATCATTTTCATTAGTACTATATTTGCCCCCTATGATTGCTTTGCCTGGCATCCTAAGACACACTAGTAAAAAAGGAAGCATGAGATGTTAGCAACTATGTGACCAAGAATTCCAACTTAGCACTGATACTAACTAGCAGCGTGAATAGGGTTAAACCACATGAAAAAGAGGAGAAAGAAGATTTATTAGGCATTACTTTCAAACACTTGCATTTATTTTAAAAAGCCAACTTACTTTCTAATAAAATGCTTAAGACTTAACTTTAAAAAGTAATTAGGTTACTAAATTAGAAATTTAGTTCAACAGGCTTTTATTCTATGCTTAAATATCTGACATTTGGAGCCAACTTTATAACCCAGGGTTATCTCCCAATATGACTAATGAAGTTGAACCAAATTTTATAGAGACAGACAGTGTGGGCTATGGAGTCTGAATGATTAGATTACGTAACAGCTTGTTCTCCGTGGAGCTTGACTGAGAAGGTAACGAATGCCAAGCTTATCTGTGCTAACAGTACCTGCTATTTTGTAGGATTTAGAACAATAACCAACTGTATGAAATTACAATCAAGTTTAAGACTTGGCATTGTTGAACAATAAAGCTAAACACTTTTGTGCCAAAGATTACACATTTTACCTATAAGGAAGCAGAAACCAACTGAGGGGATTTGAAAAAGGCATCACATAAAATAATCCCATCTTCCAATATAGTGCCTGCCTAGTCTTATTTCATTTTGTTTTCTTTCTTTCTTCTATTTCTTCTTTTTCTTTCTTATCTATCCATCCATCATGCAGAGATAGAAGCAAATAGCCAGATGCAGAGAGAACTCCCATCCTCTCACTTCCCATATGCCCAGGGCTGGGCCAAGCCAAAGTCAGGAGCTGGGAGCCAGTAGCAGGAGGCTCAACCCTGCTCTCCCACAGGATGGGTAGAGATCAGCGACTTGAGCCATCAATCTGCTTTATCCCTGGTGCACACCAGCTGGAAGCTGAAACTGAGCCAGAACTCAAATGCAGACATTTTGACATGGGGGACATATTTTTCAATTGGAAATTCGATGCTGTTGTCTTACATCTGTTTCAATAACTAGTTCTTTTACCAAAACAATGTATGCTCTCTTGCTGTAATTCATTCTGATTCAACTTAATACTTTGAAATTTATATACGCTTCCCCACCCCGCTTAGTTTTGACATTTTCCATACCACAAAAACAACACTGGATTATTGTAACAAGAGAAACCGAACAAGACAATATAAAAATGCAAAACTAAATTCCCCTTCCTGTACCTATTCCTAATCCCACCTCCTAAAAAAATACCAAGATTATCAATATAAATACTTTCCATAAATTCACCTTTTTAAATTTTCAAAATTACTACAGACAGGACACTTAAATGCTTACCTCCAGATATATTGATGGTGGATTATGCTCCCCACCAAATTTGTCCAAGAGGGCCTCTATATGTTCCTGTGTCAACTTAATCATTTGTTTGATATTCCACACCTAAAAAAATTTTAAAAGAAATCTAAATTAAAGTTACTAAGTATATGAATTAGAAATATTTTAATTTAGACAATTACATCTCAGTAACTACCAGTGTGCCTGGATATCTAGAGTTCAGATTCTTCCCTTAAGGTTGTTCGTATCCCGGAAATACAGTATATTCACAATTATGAAAGAGTCAAATAATACATGAACATTCACAATAAATTATGAAAACCTTTTTTCATTTTCTCCACATGTCCGGCCTAAGATCAAAGCAAGAGGTATTATTTACAGTTCTTCCATGTGTTCTTTCAAATTCATGTAAAAACAAACATATACAAATACTTAAAATCTTATAAATAGAATTATTTTACCACTTGCTTTTCTCAATAACAATGCTTCACAATTCATTAGCTGGGTGTTTTACTTTTTTTCTCAGGGCTGTTTAAGCATATATTTCGTAATAATTTAATATTACTGATAATTCCAATGGCCTCCAAACTTCTGTGTTGAGGTAAGGTAGACACAGTAATTCTAAGCGGATCTATTTCCAGATGCTCAAATCCATTTGCACTTTGCCTTACCTGCTCACAAACTCATTTTCCCTGCCTAAATTTAAAGATCATTCTCTACTTTATGAAAGAAAGACAAAGGTAGTCCTGAAATAAACATAAAAAGGGACTAACACAAATAGCTGAAAGAAGAGGGAAATTTGAGAGAAGGAGAAAAAAACTTAAACACAAAAACTGATTTTGGTAATGCAAATAAATTTGTGGTGGCAGACATCTGGCAACAGTAAAAAGCCAGCTTAAAATGCTTGCATCTCCACCAGAATGCCTGAGCTTGAGTTCCGGCTGTGCTTGAGTCCGGCTTCCGGCCTGACATTCCTGAGGGAGACTTGGATTGTGTTCCAGGCTGCTGGCTTCAGCCTGGCTCTGGCTGTTGCAGGCACTTGGGAGTGAATCAGGAGACAGAATCTATCTGCTTCCCATTGTCTCTTGAACAAGACCCTCGGGCATGCTCCACATCGGGGACCTGGGATGGGTGGGAGGCTGGGTGGGCATTCTCCCTTTATCTCCCCCTTTGCCCCAGATACAGGAAAAAGAGAGAGAGAGAGAGAGAGAGAGAGAGAGAATGTGGAAATAATAGTCTTACCCAATTTCCTGTAGCCCTTGAACCTTTGTGCCCTAATTAACCATGTAAAGATTGTCAAAAATAAAGAAGGAAAAAAAGATATACTAGGCCTGGCACGGTAGCCTAATGGTTAAAAGTCCTCGCCTTGTATGCATCGGCCGCTATGCATGTCGGTTTGTGTCCCAGAGGCCCCACTTCCCATCCAGCTCCCTGTTTGTGGCCTGGGAAAGCAGTTGAGGACAGCCCAAGACTTTGGGACCCTGTACCCATGTAGGAGACCTGGAAGAAGCTCCTGGTTCCTGGTTTCAGATTGGCTCAGCTCTGGCCGTTGTGGCCCCTTGTGGAGTGAATCAGCAGTCAGAAGAGCTTCCTTTTTGTCTTTCCTCCTCTATGTATGTCTCAATTTCCAGTAATAAAAATAGATCTTGGGCCCAGCGCGGTGGTGCAGTGGTTAAGGTCCTCGCCTTGCACGCCCGGGATCCCATATGGGCGCCGGTTCTAATCCTGGCAGCCCCGCTTCCCTTCCAGCTCCCTGCCTGTGGCCGGGAAAGCAGTCGAGGACGGCCCAAAGCTTTGGGACCCTGCACCCGCATGGGAGACCCTGGCTTCAGACCGGAATAGCATCGACCGTTGCGCTCACTTGGGGAGTGAATCATCGGACGGAAGATCTTCCTCTCTGTCTGTCCTCTCTGTATATCTGCCTTTCCAATAAAAATAAAATAAATCTTTAAAAAAATATATACTTATAGTCATTGGAAAGGCAGATTTACACAGAGAAGGAGAGACAGCTCTTTCGTCCACTGGTTCACTCTCCAAGTGGCCGTAGTGGCAGGAGCTAGCCAATCTGAAGCCAGAGGTTCTTCTGGGTCTTCCACGGGGGTGCAGGAGCCTAAGGAAATCTTTTATTACTTTCCTAGGTCATAAGCATAGAGTGAGATGGAAAGTGGGACAGATGGGACACTACCCAGTGCCCATACGGGATCCTGACACTTGGAGGTGAAAGAGTAGACAATTGAGCCATTGCACAGGATCCAAAATAAAAATTCTTAATGTCAGAAATCAATTGTAAAGGGTAAGTGGATACAAATGAGCAACAGGATTTGCAGGATTTCAGTGATGGTTTGATTCAATCTACATATTGGTTATTCCATCTTCCTCAATCTCTAATACTATTTCAAATAACAGTTCTGAACTGCTTTCAGGGCAAAAATGTTAAGTTTTCCTTTTTGATAGCTAGGCACAGGATTTCTAGACTGAATGACAGACACATGCAAAAATTTAATAAATATCCCAAATGGTTTTTCCAAAAGAGAAAATTTACCAAATCCAAAATGAAGGACGGTTCTCTGTTCTTCACAGTCCCAGGAACACTGAGTATTATTAAGCTTCTAAACTCCTTTTATTCTTTTTAAAAGATTTATGTATTCATTATTGGCAAGTCAGATTTACAGAGAGAAGGACAGAGATATCTTCTGTCTGCTGGTTTACTCCCCAAATGGCTGCAATGGTGAGTGCTCAATCTGAAGCCAGGAGTCAGGAGATTCCTCCAGGTCTCCCACATGGGTGCAGGGTCCCAAGGCTTTCGACCATCCTCGACTGCTTTCCCAGGCCACAAACAGGGAGCTTGATAGGAAGCAGGACTGCTGGGTTAGAAACGGCGCCAATATGGGATCCCGGTGTGTTGAAGTGGAGGACTTTAGCCACTAGGCTACTGTGCTGGGCCCAACTCCTTTTATTCTGAAGAGGAAAAAGTGGTCATATTGTTTTAAATTATACTTTTTAGAAAGCTCATTTTCATATGGGGGGGGGTCTTTCCTCCCAAGCTGTATTAAAACCTGATTAAATTTTTATAGTACCTCCTACTTTTCTGTTAGCAAACATCACAATATAAAATGCTTGTATACATATGTATCATATAGATTGTTAATCACTTATTTAATGAGCATCTCCGATTGCAGAGACATCTCAGCCCAACATATATAATTTGCAATGCAGTTTTCTTATAAGTGGCTTTTGATGTGATTAGACAGCATGTTTTAGGATGTTTATTCTAGCAGTAATATATAGGTTAACCAATATGTTAGTGAGGTTCTGTGGACCGGGAACCCCATTACAACCATGCTACAATTATAGGAAGAATTAATGAGCATCAGAACTACTGTTAATAGATTTAACACTCTCGTTAATGAGTCTGCAAGGTAGAAAGGAGGAAGCTAATTCCAAAGACGAAGTCTGACATTTTTTTCTGGTAATAATTCAGCTGTAAGTTTAGACAGCCAGGTAAGTAGGCTAATGACAGAAACCATAATGCCAACTCCAAGTAAATGATCCCAATCGCAGCATTGACATGGGTGTGAAAGCCCCTTACGTGTGAGCATGGGTCAGAGCAGTTCAGATGCTGGAGAAGGCATCTACATCCCACACTCGATGCCTGCATTCAAGTGCCTGCTCACTCCAATCAAGCTTCTTGCTCATATGTGCCCTCGGAAGCAGCAGGTGAAGAACAGCTGAATAACTTCCACCCATATGAGAGACTAGTCCTGGTTGCATTTGGGGAGTGAGCCAGCAGAGAGGCGTGCTGTGTGTCTCTAACTTTTAAATTCACCAAAAGGAGAAGCAGAAGCTGCCAACATCCCCCCTTTAGACAGTGAAATTACATCTTGTGGTTGGTTCATTGAAAAGACCTGTTAAACCAAGGAATCACAGCAATGAGAAACATATACAAATGTTTCAGCTTCAAATTATAAAATGAACATTCCCCAATCTTAGCACCAAAGAATTCCACTTATTTATTGTTTAAAATAGACATTCTTAGAGATTTCATTTTGTCTTGAGCGACAGAGGTACAGATACAGATAAAATAAATCTTCCATCTGTTAATCCTTTCCCCAAATGACTACAATGCCAAGAGCTGAGCCGATTCGATACTAGAAGCCAGGATTTTTTCCAGGCCTCCCCTGTGGGTGCAGGGGCCCAAAGACTTGAGCTATCTTCCACTGCTCTCCCAGGCCATAAACAGAGGGCTGGATGGAAAACGAACAGCCAGAACACGAACTGGCACTTCTACGGGATACCAGCACTGTAGGTGGAGGCTTAGCCTATAATGTTATGGCACCAGTGCCCATTTTTATAATTTTTTTTTCTTTTTAATAGATTTATTTATTTTTATTGGAAAGGTAGATTTACAGAGAAAAGGAGGGACGGAGAAATATATTCCATCCTTGGACCATTCTCTATTGCATCCCAGCTAGGACATGAACAGGCACCCATATATGGGATCCCAGGCATGCAAGGTGAGGATTTAGCCACTAGGCTGCCACGGCAGGCCCAAATACATTTTTTTAAACTTGATAAAAATAATATGCAGGTAACAGGTCAAAAATCAACTGCAATACCTTGTATCTCTAAAACAACATCCAGTATTATAGTTCCTGGGTTCTAACTAGTATCCAACAGTTAAGCAAAGTAAAGCACCTAGGGCCCGGCGTGGTGGCGCAAGTGGTTAAAGGTCCTCGCCTTGCACGCCCAGGATCCCATATGGGCGCCGGTTCTAATCCCGGCAGCCCTGCTTCCCATCCAGCTCCCTGCCTGTGGCCTGGAAAAGCAGTCGAGGACAGCCCAAAGCTTTGGGAACCTGCACCAGTGTGGGAGACCCGGAAGAGGCTCCTGGCTTCGGATCAACATAGTATCGGCCCGTTGCGCTCACTTGGGGAGTGAATCATTGGACGGAAGATCTTCCTCTCTGTCTCTCCTCTCTGTATATCTGCCTTTCCAATGAAGAAATAATAAAAATAAATCTTTAAAAAAAAAAAAGTAAAGCACCTAAACAGACTTTTAAGTAGACTCATCAAAGAATATTTCAAAACAAGCAATTTGCCACATAA